AAATTGGCGGAGGCAAATGCATTGGCTGCTAGTGTTGAAGAGAAATCATTGGAGGTAGAAGCAAAGTTGCGTGCAGCGGATGCTAAGCTTGCTGAGGTGAACCAAAAGAGTTCTGCAGTAGAGAGGAAACTTAATGAAGTTGAGGCTCAAGAACATGCGCTTCGAAGAGAACGGTCATCTTTCAATGCAGAGTATGCTATTGGCTCCCAGTGATTCTTTCTTATCCCATATTTCTCTTCTAATTTGTTCCCATTCAAATTCACAGGCTGAATTGGTTAGAGTTATGACGACCGCATTTAATTCTTGCTTGATAGTGACATTGTTTACTCTTGTTGTCTCAGGCGTGAAGCTTTTGGGACTTATATATCCAGACAAAGAGAAGACTTGCAGGAATGGGAAAGAAAACTACAGGCTGGAGAGGAGAGATTGGCTGATGGCCAAAGATTGCTTAACCAAAGAGAGCAGCGAGCCAATGACACTGATAGAATTTTGATGCAAAAGCAGAATGACCTTGAAGATGACCAGAGGAAAATTGACGCAGCTAACTCAGTTTTGAGGAAGAAAGAAGATGATATGAGCAGCCGGATAGCAAACCTTACTCATAAGGAGAAGGTAAGTTTTCTTTGAGTTCTTCAATTCCCTAGCTGAGGTTATATTTACCATAAAGTTTTCCACTTGATACAGGAACTCGAGGATGTGAGAAAGAGCCTGGAGATAAAAGAGAGGGAGTTGCTCGATCTACAGGAAAAGTTGAACTTGAAAGAGAGAGTGAGTACCTGTTCTTTTTTCCCCTGGGTTTGTCTAGTGCAGATGATTGAAATTAATGACCTTATTGATGAAAGAGATGGCCTCTGTTGTCTTGAGTTCATTTTAGTTTGGAAATTATTTATGACCACGAAGCCATTAATCCAAGAAATTTCACCAGTCATTATCTTGTTTTTGTTGAAAACTTTCCATTGTGAACCCATTCCAATTCTTTGAGTTGCCCTTTAAAGCTTCCTTCTGCTTTACGTTTTCTGTGGTTCAGTTTTCTGTTTTCCCTCCCTCTTCTACCTTCAGAGTCTTTTGAGGAAGAGAGTAACTTGAAAAGAAAAATTATCTAAGTTACTATTAAGCTATGATATTTTCTTAGGCTTGCTCTTCTAATTGTAAACAGGAGGGAATTCAAAATCTAATGGATGAACATCGAAGTATCCTGCATTCTAAGGAAGAAGAGTTTGAGTTGGAATTGAGGCAAAGGCGGGCATCACATGATGAGGAACTAAAAGGTAAGGTGCTTGAACTGGAAACGAAGAAAGCTGAAGTTGATCACATGGAAGAAAAGATTAAGAAACGAGAACAAGCCGTTGAAAAGAAGCTGGAGAAAGTCAAGGAGAAGGAGAAGGATCATGAGTTGAAGTTAAAATCATTGAAGGAAAGGGAGAGGTCTTTGAAAACCGAGGAGAAAATTTTGGAAACTGAAAGGAAGCAGATAGTTTCTGAGAAGGAGAATTTGCTAGCTCTGAAGGCTGAGCTTGAGAATATAAGAGCTGACATAGAAAAGCAACAGGTCAAGATCAGTGAGGAAACAGAACAACTTAGAGTAACTGAAGATGAGAGAATGGAACATGCTCGCCTACAGTCAGAACTGAAGCAGGAGATAGACAAGTGTAGACTCCTCCAAGAAAATCTGTTGAAGGAAGCTGAGGATTTGAAGCAGGAAAAAGAAAGATTTGAGAAAGAATGGGAAGAACTGGATGAGAAAAGATCTGAGATCAAGATAGACTTGCAGGAACTTAATGAACAGAGAAAGAATTTCGAAAAACTGAAGCGCACTGAAGAGGAAATGATAAGCAAGGAGAAGCTGGAAAGAGAAAATTATGTTCAGAGGGAGTTGGAAGCCCTTAGACTGGCAAGAGAAACATTTGAAGCTACCATGGATCATGAGAAGTCAATATTAGCAGAGCAAACTCGAAGTGAAAAAAGCCAAATGCTTCATGCCTTTGAACGGCAAAAAAGAGAACTTGAAAGTGATATGCAGAGGAAGCAGGAGGAAAAGGAGTCTGCACTGCATGTACGGGAGAAACTCTTTGAGGAAGAGAGGCAGAGGGAGCTCAGCAATATTGAGTATTTGAAGGAAGTCGCCCATAGAGAAATGGAAGAGATGAAATTAGAAAGAGTCAGTCTGGAGAAAGAAAAACAGGAAATTTCTGCTAACAAGGGACTTCTTGAAGTACAACAGTTAGAGTTGAAGAAGGATATTGATGTGCTTGTTGGCTTAAGCAGGAAGTTGAAGGATCAGAGATTAGCTTTTATTAAGGAAAGGGACAAGTTTATTGCTTTTGTCAAGCAACAGAAAAGCTGCAGCTCATGCGGAGAAGGAATTCGTGTGATTGAGTTTTCTGACCTTCAAGCTCTCGCTGAAGCTGAGAGTTTTGAGGCCCCTCCTCTGCCAAGTGTCGTGCAGGGATATCTAAACGATGTTCAAAGAGGATCTTTGGAAAGGACTAGTGATGAGCTGTCCCCTGGTGCTCTTAATACAGGATCAATGGTTTCTGGTGGAACCATGTCCTGGCTTCGAAAATGCACATCTAAGATTCTCAAATTCTCACCTAGCAAAAAGATTGAAAATGCCTCTTCTCATTGTCTGGTTGATGGATCTTCTGCATCAGAGAAGTGTGCGGACATATCACCAAATAAACTGTCAAACGAAGGAAATCACACGGATCTGGCTGTTTCCATGAATGTTCTTGATGATGAGAGGCTTCAACAAGGTGATGGCATTAGAGAGGTGGAAGTTGACCAAGGCACTGTAGAAGACTCTCATCATGCCAGCGTGAAAATTGGTCAGCGCAGACCTGTGAAGAAAGGACGTGGTAGAAGTAGTAAAACAGCAAAAGCTACAGATACAAGAACAGTTCTTGAAAAAGTTCCTAAAGAGGGTGAGAATATGCACGCCAATGGAAGTTTGGAGACCTCAGTTAATATGAACGAGGAGAGCCAAAGAGAATCAGGTATCTCGGGTGGAGCACAGAGAAATTCCAGAAAGCGTAGTCACATGCAGACATCACAAGAAATGGCTAGTGAGATCGATGGCAATAATAGTGAAGGACAGTCGAATAGTGTAGCCAGCAGTCGCAGGAAGAGGAGACAACAGGTTGCCCCTGGTGTGCAGGCTCATGCTGAAAGAAGATACAATCTCCGCCGACCTAGGAGGTAAGTTGTTGGAGTGCCTTTTTAATTGCTGAACTGGATAGACTAGTTCTACTGCATAGCTAAAATGAGTTGCAATGTAAATAGGGCCTTAAAACATTGTGGAACTTGTCTTAAGAATTACATGAAAATTGTTTTGCCCTCCATTCCCCCTAAAAATATATAGTATATGCTATCCAAGGACTAGGAGCCACTGCTTTCACATGCTCCAGAGACGATATTGTTTAGACAATTCGTGGTGGTTGACTTGCCCTTTCTTTTATTCACAGTGCTGCACCAGCAACAGTCAATGGATCTTTGTCAGACCCAATTTCAAAATCTCAGGAAGAGATTTGGAACTCTAACGCTTCCCGGGCGACTCTTCTGGTTGACAACGGTGAAGATCATGGAAAAGATAGAAATTTTGCTGCTGTTCATCCCACGGTAGCCGTGAGCCCTGTTAGTACTCTCCGTGCTCTCTCTTATCTGTGATGCACAATTTCTCACAATTGCGCACACATTCTCAAACTTCTTGGAAATGTTTCTGAAGTTCTTTATAATTACTCAAGTTGCTTTATGTGGTATGCACACATCATATTCTCTTTTATCCTTGGCACACCTACTTCCACTGGATTTACTACAATTTTATGTTTGAAATCACTATTGTCCCCAAATGCATAGGTGTAGCTGTTAGTAGACGGGTAGTTTCATCCGTGATATATTTGTGATATATGTTTTTCGTAACCAGCTGCTATTAACCTTCATTATATTTTTCTCCAGTTGAATGATACAGTAGACAATAAGGAAGGCAGTGCTAACATAGCAACTGAGCTGGTAGATGATACAGGTTTGAGCGAAGAGGTAAATGAAACACCAAAACAGCCTTCAGCTTATGATGTGAATGGAGATGGGGATGGGTGGGATGACAGTGACGGTGATGAGGTTGATGAGGAGGAAGAGATTGAACATGCCGGTGAAGTCTCTATAGGGAAGAAGCTTTGGACTTTCATCACGACATAGTGGAAATCCAAATGACTGTAGTTTGGTCGCACTTTTGAGGATAGCTTTCGTGGCATCTTGACTAGTATTTTGTTTCTTTTGCTACTTGTAGAGTAGTTTAATGCTTTCACGGTAATGTGCAGTGTTGTGTATCCTTCTCAAAATGTAGTCGGTAGGAATCAGTTTAGGGTTGGAATTTGATTGTTTAAATGATGGTCCAAGTCGGGGTGCATTCATATTGGTTTAACGATTTTTAGTATCCATATGCTGATATGCATGATGTCCCTAAGTTAACCATTACAGCTGTAACAATTGAGTGCGCTTCCCTGTATCTATACCATTGAAATTCAAATACTTACTAAATAAGTGGATAGTTTTCTTCTGTCTATTTGATTTGCAATCTCTTTGTTGTTTTATACATTGTAGTACCCAAGTATGCGTTACATTATAGTTCTTAGTTCTCACTTCTTTCCAAATGAGCGGGGGAAGCCTGCTTGCAGTGTCAAATATGTACGCCGAGTTGCCAACCTGCATCCTTTTTTTTTGTTGTTGAGAAATGGCGAAAGTGCGTCAATTTGATGCAGTGCATTTATGGGCAAATGATTCTGCATCTAGTGAAGCATCCGAATTACATGTAGAATTGTTCACTGATTTAAGAATATATGTAACTAATGAATTCCTGATGCACGTTGACTAATGCATGTAATACCAGCTTTTCTAAAAGTGGACCCAATAACTTGCTCTTTCAAGTGGGGATACACGATAGATAAACATTTTTTTTACCAAAATGGGGGTCAAAATAGAAGGGTAAAGAAGTCTTTCCCCAATGTCTGGCCAAGAGAGATACAATCTACTTAGGATCTGAATTATATTATCAACAGGAATTGTGCCACCAGAATGAAAGCTTGAACGACATCTAGTGACGCACCGATGTAACTACGCTTCAACTAAATTAACAACTTGTGCTGTGCTTATCTACAAAGACAACTACACTTAAGACTAACTTAACTCTTTGTACTATATTCATCTACAGAAATTTCTGTATCTCCCATATAAGGGGTTATCTTGTGAGGCAAACTAAGTCCTAAACCATGTTACTCAACTACAATGGCAATTCTATGTACATTTCATGCTAACATATGTACTAGGATCTTGAGAAGGATTTGTGGCAATCTTCACAAAACTTGGCCACGGCTGATGAGCTGGTGTCACTGTACATCAAGTCAACGTTGTCAATTACTGAGATGACTATACACTTGTGATCTTGTGATGAATATACACTAGGATGATCATGGCAATGTAATTTCATGTAGATGCTAATCCCTTCCACCTCTCTGAAGCGATGAATTCCTTGCTACGTGCTTTCTAATGTCCCTGCATTATATTTGATGAAAGCAGAGTTACATCTATTATGAAGCAAGAAATTTGAGGAGCAAAAATTCAGGACTTAACATACATGCAACGAGGAACTAGGCAACTGAAATCCTGACATGTCTGTGAATGCCAATGCAGTAGCGACCAGGTTTTTAAACAAAGTTCGCAACCCCCTGGAACTCTAAGATTGCACCGACTTGCATGTTGAAAAAGTTTTCTAATTTTGAGGCATCCAGAGTACGAGCAGGGATTACTTGGGGTTGCACGGCATTGTGATGCATGCACCAGTACGCCCATTAATTTGACCTGCAGCGCCAAATATCTTGTTAGATGAATTGAGCACAGCTGATCAGATTATTTCCATATTACAGCTAAAACTGTTGCATTTTATCCCAAAACTTAAGATTCAGAACATATAATTTAAGTAGACCTCCAAACATTTTAAGAGTAAGGTAAATAAGCAGACACTAGACACCTAAAATCACTTGATAACATGGTAGAACTAACTTGGCAGTTCTGTTTGTGATCACACAAATAAGCAATGCGCACCTGCAGCAGTTTTTGCCCCTCGAATTGCTCACCTCCAATGCCAGAGTCAGTTTCGGACAAGTGAATCTTCTTGTGGAGATGATACAATATCATCATCGATGAATGCTTAGCACGACGGAGTGTGTCAAACTGATAGTGATTTTGCTGGCAGAAGCTCAAAAAAGAATGCCTATTCTCGAAAAGATCATTATCTATAATGGTATCTCGGTCCTCCGTATTAGCAGGTATATCGTCCACCACAACCTAGAAACAGTAATTTTGGAGAAAGGTTTCATGGTCAGAATGGTAGTGAGGTCAAAGTTATTCAACATGCCATCCAATAAAATAAAGTGAACATGAGAAAAAAAGATTTATTGTTCCAAAAATTCGTGAATTTATTCTCCTATTCCCCAACTCTCGTTCTATTCTATTGTGTATTAGTCTTCTCTACTTTCCGGACATTTTTTTTCAGATCCATCCCACAAAGTGGTTGAAGAATTTTTAAGGAAAAAGAGAGTTCACCTCAGAAAGTAAATGCTTTTCTCCATTAATGGAAGTGTGTGTTTTCTGCTCACCAAAGTTTTCCTTCAAAGCAAGACACCTACAATATGAAGAACACAAAATTTAAATTACAAAATATATGCAATATTAGTATTATATTTCTCGCGGAAACAACCACCATTTCTACAACAAAGATACAAGTTCACCGTTATTACAAGTCTGTTTTACCGAGAGGGAGAAAGGTCAAGAGAGCAAATACGATAAGTTAAAGGTAGTGAATTAGACTACTTCGGATGTCATGAGAACCAAGAGCAGAGGGGATTGTACTGCTGACAGGAAAATTCCCTTGGTTTTAAGTAATACAAGGTTCATCTAAATTGTGATATAATTGCGCAACTTTGCAGCTAGTAGATTAGCCCATTGAAAAAAAGATAAAACTGGAGTGTCATAGAAACTGATAGTACATTGCATCTCATGAATGAAGATAACATATATTCCATATTTTCATTTTACAATAAAAACATGCTAAAAACATAGGTACAAAGACCTAATATCTCTTTCCATTTTCTTTTCAATGAAAAAAGATTAAACAATATGTACCAAGTCAATTATCAGTCAATATTTAGAGGAGAATTTCAATTAGCACATACAAAGAAAAGTTCATTCTACACAAGGATGACTTGCAAATCTGTAGTTATCACTAAATTTCAAACCCATAGCTCCACTAGGCACACTCAATCGATAGAAAAGATACATTTACCGTATGATATACTAATATCATGCAGGATGAATACACAAGGTAAGATACCCCAAAGAACTCTACTTCCAAAGACACCTATTATTGACTGGAGGAAGGGTGTAAAGAGCTGAAAGGCTCATATACCTTGTTTAAAAGGAGGTGTAGGGGGCGACGTGAAAGTGGAGAAATTTTTTTTGGACTTAAAATCAGATATTAACCTCCCTTTGTAAGAAAAGGAAGAAGTTTTATCTTCCTTTCTAGTTGTCCTAAGCAGCATAATATGAGTATTAACATACCCTTAGGATGATGTAAAATATCAATCAGCCCTCATCTTTCCCCGAACTAAACATAGTTTAAAAGAAACCTCTTCAAAGAATAAAGAGACAGTGATGGGGAGAAAGAAAAGAGGTGGAAGTATCACCTTTCGCATAGATGGAAGTTTCTGCACTGGTAACAAAACCATCGACTTCCGGATAATATTGCGTCATGGCAGTTTGTGCACACAACATGCAAGTTTACAATGATGAAATCTTCTTTCACAGGTAAGATAGTTTGTCCCAGCTGTCAATTCAAATAAATAGAAATATTCGAGTTAATGATATGTTCCGCTATTTGAAAGCACCTGGGGTTTTCAGCTGAATGCCAACACACGCAGAGAGATACAAACACACAGACACACCCGCTCACACATGTATATCACATTTATCTTAGCATGTCTCATCAATCACCTAGTGTGAAAGTTAAGACATTACGTATACCAGGCATAAGGATGTAAAATATAACTCTAATCTAAAGTCAAATTTTCAGTTTGTTGTCTACAAATCCAGACAATGAGATCGATTTTATTAACGCCACCAATCATTCTAGATATTAAAAGTTGTGTTTTCTGTAACTGCAAAATTGTAAGATGTTCATCAGATTCTGCAACCATCCCAGATGAAACTTAAGGTTTTTCCTAATGCTCCGTCCCATTTTATTTCGACTAGATACGAAATTTAAGATGTCAATTTGACTTGTCCATCAGATTTATAGCATTGGAAAAAAATATTAAAGTAATGATTAAAATGTTAGTTCGATAAAGAAATTAAGTAAACCTGAAAATTGTTAAAGTTATACAGAAAAATATTTTCATTTGAATGGGTCAACATTTTTAGCAGAACCTTTCAAACATTTTGGGATGTCCCAAATGGAAAGAGCACCATATAAATTGAGAATGGAGAGAGTAGTATATAAGTACTTTTAGAAAAAAAGATATTCTAAGAAAGAAGAAAGTTCATAAAACCTCCATGTGCTTTCTTCTTTCTTTGCATATTCTTGAATGTTCATCTCTTTTTTCTTTTTATACTTACTTTTTCCATCTTCTTCAGCCCGATGTTTTGTAGTCTTCAACAGTAATAAGAATTTCTTACCTACTGCAACCTATTTCTTTCTATTAAACTTACTTCGAACTAGTATCAAAAGAAGGGGAAAGTTCTTTCGGGTGAAGTATACAAACTGAGGACATAAATCAATGAAACTATACCTTTTGCATCACCAGAATGTCTTTAGTTGCATCAGCAGAAAGATTGTTATATCCAATTGCTTTTAGCGCCCTCTTTGTCATTAGCTTGTTCACTTTATTTGGTGAATCACCTCTGCTCTCTTTGTCAATATTCCTAATTAAATCTTCTGCAGCACCTGACCAATAGTCTCCGTCGAAATATGGCAAATGAGCCGCACTTATCCTGGCATTATTCCTTGCACTCGGAACAAAAAAGTGGTCATATAAATTAGTATAGTTCACCACGATATCCTCTTCAGATGCTTTCCTTAACATTGACCTATACCTGCAGCCCAAAAAACAGAATCCATTCAATTCCAATAAACATACTATACGGCTAAAGAGACTTTTTTTTAACCCCTCCCAAATTAGGATGATCTATAGTGTTTCCACACTTCCCCTCCAGCGTAACTCGAACCCAGGACCTAACGGTCATAGGTGGAGGTGCTTTTACCAACTGAGCAAGCCTCACTTGTCCTTGAAACCTCTTTGGTGAGTATTGAAAGCTTGGAGCTAATATTCTCTTAGTAAGTGGAAAAAGATTGATCAGATTAGAAGGAAATTTAAGCAAAAGATGAAGAAAGAGAACAACTTTTACTCGAATGGGAAAAGGTGACTCCCAGTAGAAGTGGGGCTAGGCGCAAGAGAACGCGACGGTGCCAATAAAGCAGTAAAGCACTATCTTGGAAGGGATTGTGGAGTTGGAAGAAAATCATAGTAGACAAACTAGTCGAAAGGAGAGGTGGTTTACTCAACAGGTCACAACTTTCTAAGAAGCCACTTTCTAGAGAGACATCAGGATTAAATGGATTTAAGGGCATATTTGATTCTGCATGATATTGGGACAAACTCGAAGAAAAGAGAGTAAGTGGCAAAGCTTCAAAATTATGCCTTCATGCCCCGATATGAAAAGTTTGGAGGTAGTGAAACAAAAGAGCTTTGAAGGAATGAAGAGAACCTGCTTCCCTATTTAGAGAGAGTTGTTAGATTTTGTACATTTTTGGAGTTGACAGGACATTCCCACTAATATGGATATGCTATGAGCTTCCGGATTAGAAGGGTATCTTCATAAGTCTTACGACAAAATTGACTGGCAGGTTAAATGGCACGGAGAAGAGAATTCAATAGCTTGTTATTTAGTACGAATCAGTGAAATGACAGAATCCATAAAGATCATTCAACAGGCTTTGGAACGAATTCCAGGAGGACCTAACTAGAATCTAGAAATCCAACGTTTTGACATATTAGAAGTTCATGAATGGAATGATTTTGTATATCGTTTTATTAGTTAAAAATTTTCTCGAACTTCTGAATTGTTGAGGCAAAACTTTGTGTGCTAGTAGACGAACTTCAAAGCTGGATTTACTTTTTAAAGCCTTGAAATCAGGAAATTGATATACGTAAGAACTTGTTCCTTTTTGCTTTCAAAATTACAAAGAACAGTGCCCATATGTTCATGCCATATCGAACTAAACCAAAGCATGAGAATGTCGATAAATGCAACAAAAAGGGGGGCCAGGAATGATGAGGAAACAGAATTGGAGAGGAGCGACAGAGAGACACGCATACCACCGCCGAAGTTGGTCTGGTTTTGGTATTTTCTGAGATTCTGGATGGCAATACAAGATGTAGTCTTCACTTTTTACAGGTGGGCAAGCCCATATATAGCATGTTGTAAAACCTCGCTTTTTGCAGTAATCCAGGTATCCAATCTGATGTGATAACCAAGAGAAAGCAAATATCTAATTACTCCAGTGATTCAACCGATAAAATTAAGAATCTATATTAACTATAAAAGAAGGGTTCAATTTTGCACTTGCCAGTATTTCATGGTATACAAACGTACGTAGAGCTTCCCCTTTCACAGTTTCTTTCTCAGGTCTAAAGTACTTGATAGAATCAAGATATGATATATAGACACAGCGTTTATTCGGAGGAGCACATTCTGATCCAAACTCCTGGACATACATCCCGAAGAGGCAAACATCTGCTCCTTCGATATTCTGAAACAGTAGAATCACCTATTTGGGCATTATGTCAGATTCACCTCCAAAAAATTATACAGTAATTTCTACAAGTATGCAGGACAAAAGAAAATGGTGTGGACCACAAAAAGTGTCAAGGGGTTTCATACTCCACAAATTCATAAACCAGGAAGTGTTATTGCAAATATCAAGCTAACATAAAACTTTAGAGTACAATCAGACCAAACGATTTGAATGGAGTTTATAGCTTCGAGAGGGGAAACCTTACATTCATATCAAGAAAGAATGCTGAAGTTCACTTTTCTCACCTTTGATTTGTACTGGAACTCCATTGGATAATTTTCATTGTGAAAGAGATCCAAAAATTGCTGCTTCACTTTCAACTTTTTGTTAGTAGACAATACCACTCTGACAACTAGATCTGTTGCACCAAGTACCTGACAATAGGTAAGTAAATATTAGAAAAGTGCTAGTTTTGTATGTTTTCCGCTTCACTTAAGATGGTTAATAATTGAAGTAGCTCGTAAGGATAAAATAACACCTTAATGAATCGTTGGACTTGTAAGTTTGTTGGAAACAAACTACATCCAGCCTATTTAAGTGGCTTACCTCATCTGCATCTTGTCCTGACAATTTTGCTCTCTCATCCCTCTCTAGCTTGAGGCGCCTGAACAATCTGTGCTCAATGTGATCACTGAGCATAGTCCTTGGAAGATCTTGGGCTCCAAGAGTCGCACGTAAAGGCACACGCACACGCTCTCCTGCTTCTATCTCCTCTAAGCAGCAAAATGGACATATGTACTTTGCTTGTCCTTCCAGATCTTTTTTAGCATTGTAGAGAGCACATATTTGATGCTGCCAGCACTCGCATTTATCACATTGTACCCACTACAAATGAACCAATGAGATAAAATTAAACAAAAATAGAAAATCAAGTACTAACACTTGAAACAGAAAGATGTACTAAACTAAACTAACCGATTCTTCATTTTGCTCACTATTTTTTGCCTTTTGAAACTTCTGTTTGCTAATTGATAGTCCTCGGGATGAGACATTATCGCCACGAGACTTCCTAAAGCATCTTGTACAAAAGCAATGTCGTGCACCGGCTTTGTCCACAGTCCAATAATATACCAAGTTGCGCTTGATACGAGCACAACAAGATGAGCAATATATAGGTACGGGGACAAAAACAAACCTATCTGTGCCACATAACTGGCATATATTTTCACAGACAGAATGTAGTTTCATATTCCCAGTTGATCCCTACACAAAAATGTAAGAGAAAACTGGTTATCAAGCTAATTACAAGCCAATCCTAAGTACAAGAAGTGCCTTCACCGAAACACTCGCATATACCTTGATCCTAATGCATGAACCAGTAAGTTTCAAAAGAACTAATTATGTTTCTGCAAGCTCCAAAAAGTGTGTAATCTTTTAAATCCCCTTCCCCCAAACTGACCAAAATAGTAGCAGTATCCCTATTTCTAAATCTTTTCTTTCTTCAAAGATATTTGTCTCGCTAAGGAAGACTTCTCCATTAATTTAATAGTATATAACCAAAACCAGAACAAATTTTCATTGTATGATTTGCATTTAATAAGAAATGCCTTTGGGTTATGCTCCTTTCACTTAGCTAACTCTGCAGTATGTGCTAGTGCAAGTTTGGAAAATTACAGTCCGAGGAAGTTCGTGAAATCACTTAAGTATAAACGTGAGACCCTGCTATCTAACCTTCTTGACATATCTCTATCAATCTGCTTTACCATTTAACAAAAAAAACAATAGTAATAGGTACTCCTAATTCATTACTGATACCTTATAACAGGCACAATAAGAGCAACAGGTATGAAAGAGAACAGGCCATTATACATAAATTCTACCATTAAGTATCAAATCAAATTAACAAGCAGAAGAAAATTCTAAAATTTTCTACCCAACAGTCAGACCAGCTCAAACTATAACCTAGGATTTTATTGCTCAAAGCGTTCCTTCATTTGATCTAGAGAAAAACACTGAACAAATATGGAGGTCAGTTTATATTTCATACCTGATTATACTGACTGAGGCTGTAGATATGATTGTTCAACTGCTCAACCGTGAAAAAGTCCGTCAATGAAACACTCAGCCTCTTGGAGTCTTCTGTACTTGACCTCATTCCCATCTGGCAATTAACTTTCGGTTCAATCAAATCGCTTCGTGTTGCTGAAGTGGTCTGGTTATACTTAGATGTTTGTTGTATCTCCTCTCGTTGATCATCAGAGGGCTGTACAGGAAGAAAATACGAGCCATCTAAGCTTATTTTGGGAGAATTGTCAATCTCACTATTTTCAGTTCCACTGGTGCATGTATGCTCTATCTTCTGCAGTTCAGAACCATTGCTGAGCTCTGTAGAGGAAAAATAATAACCATTGTCAACCCGCATCATGTCGACACTGGGAAGATTACAGGATCCACCAGCTATATTCAGATCCTTCACACAGCTTGCGATTTTGTTACTGATATTTGTCTTACTCCTTTTGCTGCAAGTAGGACCTTCAGAGTACTGTCCTAACGATAAATGTCCAGCAACAGGCGACTGCTGATTGCTAGAACCAGCATCAGCATTGAAAGGTCCAAAATGAAGCACAGGGAAATTTTCCACCCTCTTTCGCTTTGATGGAGGTAAAGTAGCTTCATTGATATAAGAGCTATAGTCATTACATTCCTCATCACAGCCAAATCCATTTGAAAAACCATTGTGAAGTTGATGAAAATCTTGTTGCTGAATACTAGGTAATTGCTCTGGGAAAAGCTGGAATAAATTGGGTAAACTTGACCTTTGTCTTGATACATTACTTATAGAAGCATCTTGCTCCACCAAGCACCCATGTGATCTCAGATTAGGCAGCTGATAAGATATTGCAGTTGGCAAAGTGTTGTCTTCAGAAAACGGCTTAATGTCCGGTTCTGAAGTCCAACGATTCAGACGAGACAAACTTTGTCCATGCGATGCAGGAACATTCTCATGATAAATATTCTGACTACTTTCCAAATATCCTCCATAATTTCTGAGATTGAATTCAACTGACCAAATCAAGCAAAAAAAGCAAGTGTTAATAAGTGACTATGCAAAAAAGGAAAAGAAAAAGTAAAAGTCATAGAGAATGTAAGATTAAATCTCTGAACTAGAGCACATCACTAAATTACATGGCGGATTCGACTCAGCATAGCGCACTCGCAAGCGACCTGATCTAACTAACTAGAATTTGATTCAGCTTGGTGTTTCCCTGGATCAAACTGAGCTTAAATCATGCTTGAGAAGAGAGTTCAAGATGCACCCAGCCCCAACAGTACTTCAGTTTTTCTTTCAAATTTATAATATTTACAAGTGCTATAACAATTAGTCAACACCTATGTTCTTATAGTACTAGATTCCCATTGTAAATGAAAACGTTGGCACCTGTATTTCGCCATTTTCTTGGTTTCTTGAGTATAAAGATTGGTAATGAAGGATAGAAAATTGTCATCTTGCAACCTCAAATTCTACTTGGCTTAAAGTTCTAGGTGTCATGGTTTGCAGGTAAAAGATGATAAGTACATGCAACTACCTCTAACAACCAATACCGTTCTAGGATTTCTCCCAAAAAATTACTCCCCCCGTCCCATTTTATGTGGCATCATTTGACCTGGCAGAGCTATTAAAGTGAGGGCTGACAATTTATTGGATTATAATTAAAGTAGGTCCAAAGTTGAAGATAAAGTTATAACTGATAAATGGTAGATTTTTTGATAAGTAATAGCTGATAAATATTAACTTTCAATGGTATAAAATGGTCTAATCTAAAGAATTTAACCTTTTAACAAAGACGAAGTTTTGATAGTATGAAAAGTGGGTTCTAAATACATCTTTTTCAGTGACGATATATCGAAAAATACTGAAGAGTGTAGAGATTGGAAAAGAGAACAGAGTTCTGGACATACTAAAGTGGAAAGCAGTAAAAAGTAAATGGAAAAGACGGCAGTAACACTAAGAGAATGAGAACAGCAACAAAAGGGTATAGACCTTTCAGAAAATGATAAATTCAAGAGGTTACCACCGCAACCATTTATCCATATTAGCAATTTCTAAAAGAAGATTTAGGAATTAATACATTCCAAGAGTTGATCATAAGAAATAGAAATCTTACCCCCATCAGAATACTGAGGCTTAATTGAACTTTTCGATATTGATTCAGAGATACTCAGCAAACTGCTATCAGAATACATTAGTCCATCTTCATAAGGCTCCTTATTGGCATTCCATTCTCCATCAGAGGATACAGTAACAGATGAGAACGGTTCAGGAGAATCAACAATCTCTTCGGGAACATGTGACACACTGACTGGGGACTTATTAGCTGAGGATCCTGTATTAAAAGTAATACTTTAGAATTTAAAGCTACTTGCAGTTTCAAAACCACAAAAGTTTGTAAAAAGTCACCTGTTTGGAGCATGCTGTAATTCATGCAAGAAGCCGCTGAGAGATCATGCTGTGCAGATTGCAAATTTGAGCTGCAAAGAAGAGGTGAATCACCCAGGTCTATTGAATGGGAAATGGGTGTCAAGTTGAACGAAAGAAAATCCTTTGCTTCATCCTGCCATGCTTGTTGATAATAAGCTTCTTGCTGGATTAGGTTTTGATATTCACGTGAAAGTATCTCCTTCCACACATGATCCTGCTGTTATAACTCAAAACAATGAGCTCATCTCTATAAAGAAGTTCTCAGACTAAAAATTAAACATCAGTCAACCAACCAAAGTGAACTCTTAGCTGCTGATGGAAAATTCATTCAGAAAGCATTGGAATATGAACAGATCCTCATTTAAATTGTTTTATTAAAAAATACCAACTTAAGAATCATGTGACAAGGGAATTTGACATTCTTCTCGGGCTAAAATATAAATAACGACCAAAGAAACAGACCTTACAAACAGCATCTACTGAAGGCTGATTTCTCAAGTCAGCCAAATTGTTGACCATCTGCTTGCCCATGTCCAAATTCTTTTTACACATAAAACTCTTGCTGCAAAAGAAAATTGTGTTCCAACGTCGGAAAATTAAGCAAGCATATCATTCAGATAAAATAGTACGTCCTAGTTTTGAGAAATCTATCCCTGGAAAGACATAAAAATATTCAGAACTTACATTCTATTTCCAATAAATCCATTCACAGGAGCCCTGCTTCGGTCATTGGTCCACGCGACCTGATCATCATCTTGCTTCTCACAGGAATGTTGTCGTGAATCAGTGTTACTAAGCGGCAGGATATCTGATGCTTCCTGGAACAAGTAGGTTCCTCCAGAATTAGATGGTATCCAAACGTTGACTCCGTTCAAATTCATCTCGCTTTCTACACATTCCTCCTGCAATGAAAATTGAAAAGCCAACAAAATTTAGGGGCTTCTACATGTACTAGCTGCCACAAATGTGTTTCTAGTTACTTGCAGAAGTGATACGGACGCTCATGTGAGTTAAAAATTTTTGGTTCAGATGCTGTGGCAACAGCAGATTCAAGAAAGAAAGAGATCTCCTCAACATTCTTTTTTGTAGAGCATTATTCCATAAAACTATTATATACATATAAATACATACACAGGGGCGTATTTACTTGGAAAATTATGATGCATGTGCACCCATTGTCTCTCCGCCAAACTAGGTATGCTATGTACATATTTTCTAGAATTGATCTAATATTATCTGCTGGTGGACGTGCTCCAAAGAGGTTGATTGGTGGACTTGGTTGAATGTTAAGTTATTTACCTAAAGGAACAAGGATCAATTCCCACTTAATACTTTTTTTCCTCCTTTCCTTAATGGTGCACCCATAGCAGGGGTGGAGCCAGGATTTCTAGCTTATGGGTTCGGGATTCTAATCGTTTTAAGTTACTGGGTTCTAAATTAATAATTTATATATATTCAATGGATTTTTTAAGACAAATACAGGGTTTGAACCAAAGCTATTGGGTACGGCCGAACCCGCTGGCGACACTCTAGCTGCGGATCCAAGATTTAAATCTTATGAGTTCAACTTTTAAAGTTTTTAGCATTGAACTCATTAGATTTTTCAAGTTATGGGTTCATATCTACTATTTTTGTAATTTTAATGAATTTTTCCGCTTCAGAAGTTATGGGTTCATTTGAACCCGATGATACTACACTACATCCTCCACTGCCCATAGCATATATATATATATTCACTCTTCTTCTTTTTCGTTTAGGGTTGGAGAAGGGGAAGGCAAGCTTGTTTTCATTGGCAAACATCCTATATATGGTTTTCACTGGAAGTACTCTCTCTTGTTTAAATAGTCATCCCCTCACCATCCTGAGAAAGGGGGTTGTGGCAATCACGCGAAATTCTCTTCGACAACTATGGTGAGATTGCCTTAAACAGTCTCCATAAAATAAAAGATTCATGGACTAACAAAGACTAATTGTTACAAAAAGAGATTAATTACAGGTAGAACTTCCCAACTTACAACTTCAATGTTATTTATCTACACAACTTGAGCAGTGCAAGTAATTAGTAGCATCCATTACATTATACAACTAATTGCCAAGATAAGTTATTCAAGCAAAGAAAGATTAAAGAGGCAGAAAACCGCCTTTCAAAAAATCACAAAATCTAATAATCAATCCTATTATGTGATTGCGCTGCTGATCAACGTTGCATGCCACTGCATAATCCAACAAAGGTTTTTGTAATTAATTGACTCTTACTAGTCACATGCAAATTATTCTACCATCAAAATTCAAGCTATTAACACATGTGAAGCAAATAAGAACGTAAATTGACATATAAAGTTACAGAAGAAACTATGATATCCAAACACAGCATTAGAATTTAATTCACAAAAATTAGTGCTTTACCATCATAATTGTTACAGATTGAATAAGGTTTTTGGTATTAATTAGAGAGAAGGAAAATATATAGAATGAAAGAGGAACTTACAATTTGATTCCTTCGTAGAAAAAAAGAAGGTTTGTTCGCGGTAGATAAAAGGGAGGGTAATAGCGCGGCAAGGAGTATTGGCAAAGAATTTGAGGCCGAAACGGATACGGATTCGAATTTGGGTAGTATTCGGATTTCAGTTATTTAGCTGATCAGATTACTCCTTCTGAGGCCACTATTTATTTTGTACCCTATTTTTAAAGTTTTGCAAATATAACACTTTTGCTTCACACGGAAGAATACAAAAAAAATTAACTCAAATAGCTGCCCACCTGACCACTTAAATTAAAAATAATTTATGAAAGTATAATATATGCATAATTTATATGTTATATGTGTACTACTATCTATGAACGTGCGTTGCATGTTAATAATGGCTTGTGGTGATTTAAACATTTATTTATATGAAGAAATAATACAATTTTCATGAGAGAAATTTTATGTATAATAATACAACAATCATCCAGATGCCGAAAAATATTATTACATTAGCATAATACATGAATTTAAAATAAAAGGGCATCATCAAAACTTACACAAATGATCAATTTTGTCATGTTAGTTAAATAATTATGTATTATAGTTTAAACGTAATTAATATGATGGTATCTTAACGAACACTTCTTTGTGGGTAATTTTATTTTGTGTATGTTTCCTCCTAATGCTTTGGTTACTCCGCATTAACCGAATCTCTTGTTGTCGATCTTGATATCCCTCTTGAATGTGCAACATACAGTTGTTCGTGCAAGAAAATATATTGCAATAAATATAGTCCAATATTTAGGGTCCTTGTGCTTTATTTATTATATTTGCAAAACATAAACATACTAAAAATTATTTTCACACAAATTTAAGATATTCTTTAGTTTCGGAAGACGAAAGTAGAATTCAGGGATAAGAATATACTTAGAAGCATATTGACCAGTATAATAATTTTTGCATGTATGATGTTATTCTCAAAACTTCTATATACCATTTGTGTGCTATTAATAAAGCTATTCGGCATATCTAAGTCTTTTAGTAGCATGACAAGCATATTTTTCTTCAAAGTCAACCTATATACAATGGAAGATCAATTTTAACTTAGTATATTATATATGCGGTGACACTAACATATGTAAGAAATAATAAACTTGACAACAAATATGTGTGGTAGAAGGCCATTCGGTATAAAAATTTGCAATCAACCTTTTATTTAGTTGATCAACATATTCATCTCTGCTAGCTAAGATCTCTTTTTAATTGTAGCATGCGATTTGCACAAATTACGTTTTAATCTAATGATAGAAATATTTCTCTTATTAAATGCACTATATTACCAGTGAGATTGATAACCAAGTGTTCAGGAAGAACCAAATCATCTTTTATTAGGTGCTCTTCTCATTTCCAATACAAAACAAGAAGACACTGAATACTGGATCTGTTCCTACTGTCACGACTCATTTCCACAATAGGTCATGATGGCGCCCAACACCATTTGCCGCGCAAGCCAACGCGGAAATATAAATAAGTTCTCATTTTACCTTTACCAACTAATTGCAGCAATTTCTTAAATTAAGGTAAAACAAGTAATAACCGGTAAGGTACCAAAATAATTATACAAATCTCAAAAGAATAGTCTACTAATCTGTGTGCCAAGACCTGGTGTCACAAGTTGTGGGCAACTAGTAGAATATATAAAAGAACAATCCTATCCTACTGTCCGAAATAGAATAGACAGCAAAAATAAATAAAGAAAAACTCCATCAAGCTGCTGAACGGCACAGGAAGGGAGCAGCTCACCATGGAAGTCTCGGAATAGTCTCAGAGATATGCACCAGACTGATAGCCAGATGTGCATGCCTCAGATCCTGTACAATTAAGTACAGAAGTGTAGTATGAGTACATAAACAATATGTACCCAGTGAGTATCCTGTCTAATCTCGAAGAAGTAGAGACGAGAAGTCGACTTGACACTTACTAGGGTCAAATAATATGAGATATGAGTTATATTGTGTATGGATAAAACAAACAAATAGCAATGTATAGCAAGAACTAACAGGTCCTCTCCTAGATAATGTCACAACTGGCAACTTCCATTTCAGGACAATTAATAAACTCAAATCATATAAGAATACTGGGTAAAGCAGGCGCAAGTAGTGCCAAGGTCGTACGGCCTGATCCAACATAAAGTAAATTGTGCACTGCCAAGGGTCGAACGGCACGAACATAGATGCATCTATTACCCCGCTCGCGTATCAACCATGCGACGCGGTCACATGTAATTAAACACATCAACAGGCAGACAAGAACATATAACTGGGAAGCAATTACTCATTGAATTATCATCTTCTATTTTAAAAGCCAAGAATGGTCATGTTCCTCTTAACTAATCTCATTTATCACAATCACAACGATTGAACAATCCAAATTAAACATAGAGTTGCAAGAACACCACATAAAGCATGCTTTTGGGTCTTAAACTACCCGGACTTAGCATAATAGTAGCTAAGCACTGACTCTCGTCACCTAGTGCGTACGTAGCCCCCGCATTTAATAGCAAATTATTGGATTACATCACCTATGGGGATAATTCCCTCTTACAAGGTTAGATAGGAGACTCACCTCGCTCCAAAGTGCACTTCCAATACCAAGAACGAGCCCGAACTCTCAATTTGGAGCCGAACGATCCAAAACTAGATAAACGAGGTAGGAACTAGTCAATACAAGCTTACAAGATCATATTCTAACTATTTAAGCAATTCCCCACCCTTAAACACAAGTTTCCTAAAATCCGACCCCGGGCCCATGTGCCCGGATTCCGAAAATTTTCAAGGGAAGTTGTTCTTCATAACCCAAGGATCAATAATATATGATTTCTAATTCATTTCATAACAAATTTCGTGGTCAAATCCAACTTTTGTCAAAACCCTAGGTTTTTGCTCTAACCCCATGATTTCACCTTAATACCAGTGTTTAATCTACCTAAGACACAAGTATTAAACTAGAAATAGGTAGAATAAACTTACCTCAAGATGCTAGGTGAAGGTCTTCTCTCAAAAGCTCTAAAATCGCCCAATGGAGGAGTGAAAAATGGCAAAATGAACTTAGAACCCGTAATAAATGAAGCTCACTGCTTCAGTGATTTCCACATCTGCGGTCAGGGAACCGCATCTGCGAGGAAGAGACCGCATCTACGGAAGTTGGCCAAACGGGATGGGAACGCTTCTGCGGTCTTGGAGCCGCTTCTGCGGGGCCGCTTCTGCAATTTTGGGCCTGGCCAGCCTTGGCCGCATCTGCTAGGGAACGACCGCTTCTGCAGTCTCGCACCTGCGGCCGACCAACCGCAGGTGCGGTTATGACAGAAGCAGCAGCTTCAGCACTTCCCCACTTTTTCAACTTCACTCCAGCCTCGTCCGTTTGACGCTCGGGGCTCCCAGGCCCTGTCCGAACACACCGACAAGTCCAAAATCATGAAACGGACCTGCTCGAACCTTTGGAACACTCAAAACAACACTAAATCTAAGAATCACCCCCTAAAACCAATTGAATCAAACTTATGAACTTCAAGTTCTTAATTCTCCTCTAACGAGCCGAAACACACTTAAACTACTCGGATTGACACCAACTTTTGCGGGCAAGTCTTAAAATATTATATTGGACCTGTACTTGGCTCCGGAACCAATCCACGAGCCCGATACCAACGTGATAAATCATTATTTAGTTTCTTTAAATCCTTGGAATTTCAGTTTAACAATTTCTAATTCATTACTCGGCCTAGGGACCTCGGAATTCGATTCCGAGCATACGTCCAGGTCCCATATTTTCCTACGGACCCTCCGGGACCGTCAAAACACGAATTCGGGCCCGTTTGCTAAAAATGTTGACCAAAGTCAAACTTAGCCTTTTTAAAAAATTCTTAAGGAATTAAATGAGCATATATCAACCAAAATTCTTCCAAATCCCGAACCAACCATCCCCGCAGGTCGTAAATTAGTTAAAGCAAGCACGGAAAGTTTTATTTGGGGGAACGGGGTTCTAAAAAGCAAAACGACCGGTCGGATCGTTACACTTACTTTATATTTCTTCCAACTTTTTTTCCCTTTCTGTCATATTTATATCCTTAAGTATATTCTTAGTTATTGTTAATAATTGGATATTTTTTAATATTACAAGAAAAATTAATTAAAAAATATTATTTGAGTAGGAAAATAGTTCAAATATAATATAAAAATATATTATTGTCGGGATATTTTTTTTCTCAATTTTAACTCTTTATGCAGTCCATTTAATGTTATTTTTATTGTTTCTTGGTATTAGACATTATGTAGTGACAATGTATTGCTAATACGGAGGATTCTTATGAAATTGATTGTATTAAATCTTCCTACATATTTTAAATAAGAATTTAATAGACAAAATTTTATTAATTTTGAAATATTAAATATTAAAATTTAGCATAGAAGATGTTGTAGTCCAAAAAATAAGTTATTGTAATTATGTCCTTTCCCTATGAGTTTTTCTATTTAATATTTTAGGGCTATTTTGGTATATTAATATTGTATTTATGTTTGTCTAATAATATAGCTCCTTTTTATAAATAATTTGGACAATATAATACATTATCAAATTAAATTAGTAATAGGACATTATAATACGTTTTCAAATTAAATTAGTAATAGGAATTTTTAAGAAGTATATCCTAAAAGCAATAGGATTACATGACTAAAGATATTTACTTGTTTAATTTTATATGAATTAGACAACCGAAAAGTAATCATACTAATCCTAATGTGTAGTATTATGTCCTAAAACTAATTATAAGGCTAATATCTAGAATTCCGGTTATGTCCTTTTATTATGAGTTATTATACTTAATATTATAAGGTTATTTTTGTAAAACGACATTGTATTCATGCTTTTATAATAGTACTACTTTTTATGAACGTGCATTGCACGTGAGTAATAACACGTGATGTTTTAGTCAATTGTTTATATAAAGGAACACCAAATTTAAGTAATGAGAGCAATACAAATAATACAAATGTCAGAAAGATGTTATTACATTAACATAATAACTGGATTCAAACAGATGGGACATCATCATATGAACCTGC